ATTGAATAAATATTATCCATTCCTCTTTTCAGAGTATACCGAGGAACAGGGCCAGTCGTCAGTCTGTGTTTACAAAGTGACATCCTACCCAAGGTTAGAATCTCTCCCTGTGGGTCTTGATGTTTGTGACCCTTATGCCAGGCCCCTCATGTCCACTCGCTCCCTGTGCTGCTGGTGCCCCGGGCGAAGCCCACCTTTGTGTGATATATCCTCACAGTGAGGATGAAGGCTTTTCATTTTAGAATTACCTGAGAGGCTTCTTTAAATTCTCCAGCTAACCTTAGTACTGATAGAACTTTCAGCATTGCATTTCTTTATTTGGATATGTTAATGTCACCCCTCTCTAGACTATTATTTTGTCTCTTCCCAGCTGGCAACACCTTCAGGGATGTATGTTTCCCTGTTCAGCAGTATTTGGATGTAAATACACCCAAGGCCCTGCTTCTCAGGCTATGGACATAAAGCCTTCTGTGGGAGAGCAGGGGGCCCCGGTCGCAGCGAAGATGAGGGTCCCTGTGTAGCTCACAGACATGGGGTGCTGGTATTGTGGGAACCTGGCAACAGAGTTACAAGTGGTTTTAGAGGCCTGGAGATGGGAAAAGATAAAATTAAGCAGCTAATAAAGGGAATAGGAGCTGGAAGGCTAGATTCTGGTTAAATCTAGTTAGAGGATTTTTTTATTTTTTTATTTTTATTTTTTTGCTTATAAGGAACTGAATAATTTCAGTCTTTCCACCCCAAAGCTTGATAATTACTTATTGATGACTATTCAAAATTTGACATTTTAAAAAACTTTCTGAGCTTTTAAAAATAATAGCTATAAATGCAAAGTACTATTGATAATAAAACCAAGTTGTTTATCCACGTACAAAAAAGTCAGTAATGTTTTAAAAGCACAAAATTGCATTTTAAATCGCAATTGCATAGTTCTGAAATGCCTGGATAAGAGTTTATAAATTTTTTAAGAAAATTCAAGTTTGGTTGACGGCGGGCCCCAAGGATATTTGTAGAGCTCAACAAAACCAAGTTCAGGATGGAAGCGCTGTTTTGATGTGAATTATTGCATTGTTACTGTGATGTTACAGTATCATGAGACCAAAACTGCTACAATTTAATTTAAAATCATTGGCATTTTTTAAACCATTATTCTGTTTTTGGCTGATATAACATTTTCATGTAGAATTCAAGTTAGATTTTATATATCCCACCCCCAGTCAGCACCTGAAAGCCTTAAAAAAGCTCTATTTGTATTTCTGTGTATAAAAGGTACTGCATATATACCTCTTAGCAAAATATGTGCTCCCTTTCCTCTCCCCACCCCAGAACCCTGGCCATTTTTAATACAAAAATCCTGTTGAAGAATCACATCAAAGATGAGAAGCAGAGTTCAAAGGTAAACATTTGGTGAAGTGTGTAGAAAATTCCATGAGCCTCCTGTACCAATCCCACAGAAGTGCTGGCTTTTGATGAACCTGGCGCAGAGAAGCCACCATCTGTGGGCGTGGTGGTGCCCTGGCCTGGAGTGCACCCTTTGTGAGAAAGCTGGTGGCTTTGTGGGGTGACTGCACTCAGACAGGAGTAGGCCCAGCGAACAGGTCCTCTGCAGGCTGCTGCACCGAGTCCCTGGCACAAAGATGCTTTAGCATTTGGAGGAAGGAAAAAACCTTCCTGGGGACAGAAACTTGTAGCCGTTGCCAGAAGGAAGTCTCAAAGGGCGTGTGGGGGCTGCAGCAGGAGGGCCGGCGGGTGGTGGCAGCGTGCTCAGCGTGGTGGTCTCGCTGCGCCAGTGTCCGTTGGGAGGGGGTTTGGGTGGTGGTTCTCTGTGTTGTTGCAAAGACAGCTCCTTGAGTTCAAGCTTGTCTACGCCTTCCTCCTTCTTGTTGTGCCGAGGTGACAGATTTAACAGGCTGAGGACATCTCTTTTGGAAGTCATCGTTCCAGGGGTCCCCCGGAATATTTTCATGGGTCCTGTGGAATGCTGGGGTGTGCTCTGCCAGAACATCTTCAGGTTGTGCACAGCCTGCACCTTTTCGTCAATGGCTGCCATTTTCAGTTTGTCTATGTCGGGTGCATCAGCTGGACTCGAGCGAGCGGAACCAGCTGAGGAATAGGAGAGAGCTGGGGACGGTGCACTACCGGCAGGGGAGTGGTGGCCTGAGCTTGGGGACATGTTCCTGGGGGATTTGGAAATGTGGGCACTGTAAGGAGAGCTGGGGTACTTCAGTTTAAAGAGAGGCTGGTCAGTCAGGGAAGTCTGGGAATCAGAGCCGGGCGACGGGCGGCCACTATGCTGGCTCGGGCTGTCTTTGATGGACACCTCCAAGGCGGTGGGGCTGCTGTATCCTGAACTCACCTTGGGCAGGGATGAGCTTCTGGCTGGGGGCTTTGGTTTAACAGTAATTGGTGATGGCTGGCTCTTCTGATGGGGGAGGGTAGGCCTG